AGCATTGAGGAGACCTCTGGAACTGAGATAGACATGATGGATGTCACCGCATTGATGCCTTTGCTGCCGGAAGAAGACAGCGAATTTCTTCCAAGATGCTCCGGGTGCAGGAGGTGAGTTCCTTGTGTTACATGCCATCCGTGTCCGACACAGAGTCGGAGGAACCTGACCCGCTGCTAAAGCGCCCCAGGAAGCTATCCAAGGAAAAGGACCAGCCAATTTCCTCGGACTCAGAGGGGGACGGATGTAGTGATTGCAATGAGGTAAATCAGGTGAACATCATTGAATATGAGTTCACTTATTGGGGCTGTTAACCCGATTCAATTAGGGAGCTCTGAGTGGCAGATGAAAAATATGGAGTGTCAGACATTCTGACACTGAGAGTTGGCTCTGAGACAGCTGGACCAGTGTCAAGGACTTTGCACGTGTAAATAAAGGGTGATTTGGTGATGAGATACCCTCTTCTGTGGAGTTATTTCACGGTTGTCGTGTCTCATTAAGATTATGGGTCTATTTACGGCCCAGGGACATTGTAAAATCAATGTGAGTATAATTAGTGATGTTTTCTATTACTGCAGAAGTTTCATTATAGATTGTTAAGTCACCCAAAGGTGAAAACAGCGGGAAATATCTGGCTTTCATTCTCATCATAAGAAAATGAAATTTGCATATGTCACAGACATGTCTCAAAATGTGTACATAAAGGATGTTTCAAGCACAGAAGGAAACAATTTGCATTGAGACAGCATCATTCATAGCGCTTGGGTCCCAAATTAGTTCAAAACCACGAAGATTGTTTTAAGTATGGTCACTCATATATGGCAGCCAATGTGCACACTTGATCCTACACCCTCCAATGACAAATAATCAGAATCAGAATAGCCTTTATTGCAACATAAGCAGAAAACATGTTTCTTTATATTTGTTCACGGGATGTGGGCATCACTGATTAGGCCAGAATTTGTTGCCCATCCCTGAGAAGATAATGGTGAGCTGCCTTCTTCAACTGCCGTAGTCTAAATGAAAGTCTTAGCTTGACATTTTTTCCTCCATTTTTCCCATGGAATGTTGATGTTTTGTCAATTTATTAACCATTTATAATTCTCCTTGAACTGAGTGGGCCATTTCAGAGGGCAGTTAAACATCAACCACACTGTGTGAATCTGGAATCACATGTAAGCCAGACCAGGTAAGGACAGCAGATTTCCTTCCCTCAAGGACAGATGGGTTGTTACAATAATCAATTATGGCCGATGTGCTTGCCATCACTGAAATTAGCTTTATCTTCCAGATTTACAAGCCACGTCCCCAAAGCATTAGCCTGGCCCACAAGGTTACTTCAATACTTCCACATCATTGTCTCCCCTGACAAAACAACATCTTCAACAAAGCAGCACTCCCACAATACAGTACTGACATATCCATCAGGATTGTCTTCTCTAATCAATACGATGGGACAGAACTACCACCAAGCAAAGGCCAACAGCAGAAGGAGATTGTTCAGCTCAGCAAGTCCATGCTGAAGGTTTCATCTCTTAATTCTGTCTATGGCACTTAAACAAAAATGTTACATCTACACTAAATTCCTATGGCCACATTTTGTCATAATTTCTAATGATCATTTTGCATTCTGGTCATCTGATTCTGATATTACTCAATACTTCCTCAGTTTTAATCCACTTTCTGAATTGTCCAAAATATTAGTATAACAACATTATAAAAATTGCACAATATAATTAAATGTCTCCATTGAATTATCTCTTGATGCTTTCATTATAGCAAATGAGAGAGAGAACAAGTGAGATGGACACATTGCCATGAGTGAGAAAGATCAGTGTGCTATTTGGATACCTGCTGTCCTGTTTCTTTTGTGTTCTGTACAGGTTGGAAAGTAAAAGAAAAAAGACAAAGAGAAAGATAGGTCTGGGAGAGAGAGGAAGGCTGATAACGCAGCTCTTACAAAGTATTTTATTTTTTACATTTCCACGCTGTAAGTGAACAAAGATCTGTGGCTATCCCTCAATTTAAGCTTGCCATTCACTCAGGATTGTAGATTTCTGCCATGGGTCTATTTACAGCCATGTTACCGAACAGATCAATTCTCAACGCACGGATCTTTGAGCAAATGGATATAACATCCCATTCGGGTAGTGGGATCCCAAAAGCAGGAATTACTTCCCTTTCTTCTCTGCTGCCACTCTGCCTCTTCATTACGATACTGTGACTCAAAGCATGATGCAGCTTGATGGACAGGTTGTCACTAAATTGAATGAAGGGAAACAAAAAACGAAAACTAGCAGTGAGTTAGAGGACCTCTGGCCTCTTGCTATCTTACAGTGAGTGAATGGGAATAGGGAAATAAATTTGGTATGATCTGCCAGAGGAAGTGGTGGAAACTGGTACAATTACAACATTTAAAATGCATCTGGATGGTTTTGAATGCGAACGGTTTAGGGGGATATAGGCCAAATGCCGGCAAATTGGGCTATATTAATTTAGGATATCTGGTCAGCATGGATGAGTTGGACTATGCTGTACAACTCAATACTCTATAAGTGAATCTCAGATGCTTTAAGTTAGGGAAGACGTTGAGCTCGGCAGGAGATAAACCATAGTTACAATTCTTGTTTTCTCTGAACTACATAAATGCATTATGTTGTCTGAGGCAATGGTGCTTTAGGTTTGTAAAGATGACTGCTAATTTTCATTGCTCGCATGATGAGAACTATAATTTTTTAAAAAATCTGTGTTCACTTTTAAAGTTTCAAAATGGGTAAATGAAGAATCAAAAGTTAGCTGAAAGTGGAAGAGAAAGACGTTAGAAGCTGATAAAAGTTGTATGCATCTATTCTTGGGTGACGGTATATGGATGGTTTAAGAGAATTCCATGTCAATTCCATGATATTCAAAACTAAAAATGTTGAATGGCCATATTCCTGAGATATAACATTGCAAACAAATCAAACATATCTTGAAGGCTTCATTATGTGACCTCCCATCCAGTCAAATAGTCTTTTCACTCCCCACTTCCAGTGTTTTCGTAGCTAAGAACAATTGCCCACTTGTACTCCAATATTGATGTTGGAGCTGTCAAAGTTGGCCATACTGGGTTCGCTGAAACTAACAGCAACTGCTGATGTCTGCATATGTGAAGAATAACGGGGGAAAAGGTAGAAGTAGGCAAGTGTAATTCTACACTTCTCCAGAGGACGTGCTGTTGAGCCACCCCTCTTCAGAAACTGCAGTTTGAGTGAAACTGACAAGAACCTCTCCTGTTAGTCTCACATGGAGTCTACTCCAGCATTAAAATTAGATCACGGCTGATCCAATCATTCTCAACGCCTGATTTATCCCCACAGTCCTCAGTTCCTCTCCTGAATAAAAATCTGTCTATCTCAGACTTGAATATACCTAATGGTTCGCCCTTAAATTATCTCTGCAATAAATAATTCCACAGATTCACCACCCTGTGAGAGAAAAATTCCTCATCTAGGCTTTAAATGGGCAACCGCTTACTCTGAGACTTCTTAATTCCTGGAGAAAACAGAGCAGTTCTGGAGAATTTACAATTTCTCACTGCATGACGCTATACAATAAAATGCTTCTTGCATTCCACAGAGTTCCAATAACCATCAGATCTGTTGAGAACCAACTTGCACTTAAACAAATTGACAATCTACCAGAATTGCATGCCACAATTATCCACTGAGTGAATACTGTTGGAACGAATTTACTGCTGTTGTCTTATTTGAAAAGTCCTACCCACTGAGTTCAAGCACAGTTCCTGCAGTGCAGGTGGAATGACATTTCTGATATTGTAGTTATTTTAATCAAGCTGTTCAGACAAATTATGACATGACTGGTGGAATTTGAATCCAGACTTTTAAGTTCCAGAGGCAAAGACACTATTACTGTGCCAGAAGACTCTTATTGGATAATATGATTTGTCTTTTTGTCTCTGACATGTCTATAAGACCCACAATTAAACCAAGAATACTCCTTTCAATATGTGGGCTGTTGCGGCACAGTGATAGTGTACCAATGCCTCGGTTCAACTACTACCTGCTCCAGAGATGTGACTTAAAAATTCATTAAAATATCCACTTCTAATGTGACATTTCTGAATTAAAGTAATAAATTAATGGAAACACAATGTACTAACAAAAACTATCAGTTATGAAAATCAGAAAAAGACAAGCACTTCACTGAAACAGGTCAATGCAGGGAGTTAGGGAGATGAAGATACCTCATAGCACAAGTACAGGAGCATTTTAAAGCTAAAGCAGTGAAGAAAACCAACTGTACCCAGTTTGTGAATGATGAAAATATGATAAATAACTATAACTAAATTGTAATGTTATAAAACTAAATAAATTAGTCACGAAATCTAATCACACATGCTGGAGAGTTATAATTCAGTTTGCACCTTCTGGTTTCCTATTCTGAAGAATCAGCACGTCGGACTTGAAACATTAATTCTCTCTCTCTCTCTCCACAGATGCTGTCAGACCTGCTGAGTTTCTCCATCAATCTCTGTGTTTGTTTCAGATTTCCAGCATCTGCAGTATACGTGCTTTCATATGATTTCCTATTCATCTGGTTATATCAATCAGATGATCAAACCGCCAACTGGAAACACTTCAACCACGAGTGCCCCTTAGATTGAAACGGGGACACAAACAATGAGTTGTAACCAAACATAATACAAACTATGCAAACCAAACATATACAAACTATAAATGCAGAGAGTTGTTGTGGCGCAGTGGTAATGTTCAGATTCAGATCCCACCTGGATCCAGATGCGTGGTCATAACGATATCTATAAATGCCAGTGGGAAGCGGCCTGACCCCATAACTTTCTACTCAGCCAGAGTTTTGAAACCTCCCGGGACGTGTCCGTGACCTGTTTCCCATTCCGGACCTGATAGCAACGGGAAGCCGTGAATTGCATGAATTGCAGAGACAGCTCTGCGGGACAGGCTGATTCAGCCATAACTCACCGAGGCAGATGTCATCCTGACACACGCTGGGTCGTGTTTGCAGATTGTTGCACCGCAGTTTACAGGGTTCACATGCACCGATCAGCTCATCGTAGTAAAATGACTTGGAGCACGCTGGGGCCATGATGGAGATGCTCAGAGGAACTGGCTGTTCTTTCCAACCGCAGTTGTGTTCTCCTGTCCATGCAGGGAGCCCGAGTGAACGAACACCACGCCAGGCAACACTGAAACGTGCCAAGATAGACGGCACTCTTCTTCTCGAAAGAACAAGAGGGATTTCCCCCTTGCGCTCCCTGCGGGACTTTTGTTCCGTTTAAAATATTATATCATAAAATTTCAAGTCGTCATCACGTTAAGTATGTTGCACTAATGAATAAAATGATTTGAAATCGGGCAGAGGCGCTGGCGGTTTCTGCCCAGAGTGATCTCGGTATATTTAAGGGACAGTCAGCAGCTACGATCCAAGTGTGAGCAAAAAACTTTTGTTTCTTTAGCTGTTGCAGGGTTTTTAGGAAGAGGTGCTTACCTCAAATCCAACAGTGAAAAAGTGTCATAAATTAAATGTTGGGTGCCCTGACAAATTTGCTTTTGCACCTTTATCTTTCATTTAGAGTTTCCCTCCTAACAGCACTGTGGGTGTCCCTGCACCCCAGGATTTGATGTGGTTCAAGAAGGCAGCTCACCGTCATCTTCCCCAGGACAATTAGGAACGGCAATAAATGCTGATGTCCAGCCAGTGACGCCGACATCCCCGAATGAATGAAAAAGACCGAGTTTGCAAAATTCAGACAGTGACCATTGGTCCCCCTAGAGCTGAGACAAAGGAATCTGTATCAGATTGCCAGCGCCCTCTGCTGAAAACACCCGAGACACTGAGGTTCTGATGGCTCTGTTGAAGACTGATAATTCTTAAAACATCTCTTGTATTTTCTTCTTTCGATCATAATTGAACAGTGGACACTAGCCTAGTTTATCATGGAATTTAAATTGGAATGAAACACATTTCTTTCCTTTAATTTTGTCTAAGATTTGAGTGTTGCTGGCTGGGCATTTATTACACATCCCTAATCCCCCTAGAGAAGGTGGTGGTGAACTGCCATCTTGAACTGCTGTAGTCCATTTCATGTAAGTACACACACAGTGCTATCAGGGATGAATTTCCAGGATTTGAATACAGTGACAGTGAAGAAACTGTGATATAGTTCCAAATCAGGGTGGTGACTGACTGAGACAGGAATTTGTCATAGAGTCATACAGCATGGAACAGACTTTTCAGTCCAACTTGTCCATGCCGACCAAGTTTCCCAAACTAAACTAGTTCCATTTGCCTGCATTTGGCCCACTCACCACCCTGACTTAGAAATATATCACCATTCCTTCACTGTTTCTGGATCAAAATCCTGGAATTCCCTCCCTAATGGCACTGTGGGTCAGCCCACAGCAGGTGGACTACAGTGGTTCAAGAAGACAGCTCATCACCACCTTCTCAAGGGCAACTAGGGACGGGTAATAAATGTTAGCGAGTCAGCGATTCCCACATTCCACAAATGAATAAAAATAAAAATATCCCTCTAAACCTTTCCTATTCATGTAGCTGTCCAAATGTCTTTGAAATGTTGTAACTGTACCTATATCTACCACTTCCTCAGGCAGTTCATTCCACACACGAACCACCCTCTGTGTGAAACAATTACCCCTCAGGTCCCTTTGAAATCTTTCTCATCTCATCTCAAAAATATGCTCACTAGTTTTGAACTCTCCAACTCTAGGGAAAAGACCTTTGCTATTCACCTGATCTATGCCTCCCCATGATTTTATAAACCTCTCATAAGGTCACTTCTCAACCTCCTATGCTCCAGTGAAAAAAGTCCCAGCTTATCCAGTCCTGGTAGCACCCTTGTAAATCTTTTCTGCACCCTCTCCAATTTAGTAATATCCTTCCTATAGCAGAGCGACCAGGATTGTACACCATATTCCAAAAGTTGCCTTGTCTTTCCAAATGGAAGTAGTCATGGGTTTGGAAGGTGCAGTTAAAGGATCTTTAGTGGATTTCTGCAGTGCATTTTGTAAACAGTATACACTGCTGCGACTGACCATTGGTGGTAGAGGGAGTGAATGAACATAAGAACTAGGAGCAAAAATAAGCAATTCAGCCTCTCAGCCATTTGATATCATTCACACTGATCTCATCTCAGCCTCAACTCTACTTTCTTGTCCACTCTCCATAACTCCTTGAGTCAGTACTAATTAAAAATCAGTCTACCTCATGTTTATTCAGTGTACCACATTCTACCACATTCTGAGGCAGTGAATTCTACAGATTCACAAGCCTTTGAGCGAAGTAATTCCTCCTCATCTCTGTTTTAAATCCACCAGTCTTCAGCCTAAAACTGTGCCCTGTTTTGGGTGTAGTTCGAATCAAGTGGACTGCTTTGTCCTGGTTGGTATCAAGCTTCTTGACAGTTGTTAGAGCTGCACTCATCCAGGCAAGTGGGGAGCATTCCATCATACTCCTGACTTGTACCTTGTAGATGGTGCACAGGTTTTAGGGAGCCAGGAGGTGAGTTATTTGCTGCAGGATTCCCAACCTCTGACCTGCACTTGTGGCACAGTATTTATATAGCTGGTTCAGTTCAGTTTCTGGTCAATGGTAATTCCCAGGGTGTCAGTTGTTGAAGATTCAGTGATGGTTATGGCATTAACATCAAGCAATGATGGTTAGATTCACTCTTGTTGGAGATGGCTATTGCCTGGCAATTGTGTGGCACAACTGCTTCTCATCAGCCTAAGTCTGGATATCGTCCAGATCTTTTTGCATTTGGACATGCTTTTTCCTTCAGATTCTGAGGAGTCAGAAATTATGCTGAACATTGTGCATTGATGAATTGGTGATGATGGTTGGGCCTAGGACATTACCCTGAGGAATTCCTGCAGAGATGGCCTGGGGCAAAGATGATTGACCAACAACTACAACCATTTTCCTTTTTGTTCATTATGACTCCAATCAACTCCAGGGGAATGTTTCCCCCCGAATCCTAATGACAAAAAAGGTAAGTCTAGAAGAGCTGGATGTGACAGCAACAGAACAATGAGCAACAACTGCTGTCCAAGTTCTGAGGAAGGGTCATTGGACCCGAAACATTAACTCTGATTTTTCTTCACAGATACTGCCAAACCTGCTGAGCTTTTCCAGCAACTTCTGTGTGTGTTCCTGATTTACAACACCCGTAGTTCTTTCACATTTTATTTAGCATTGCACTGGCTTTGGAGTCACATGTGGGCCAGTCCAGGTGAAGATGAAAGATTTATTTTTTTAAGAGACATGGAAGTAAAAAAAGTTGGAAACATTAAGCAACCGTGGAGAGAAAAACAGTTAATGTTACAGGTGATAACTTCTTGGTGGAACTGTAAAAATGGTACAAATGCCATGGGTTTTAGGAAGTGCAGAGGTGTTTGTGGGCTGGAAATGTCAATAGGGATGATGGTATAAGGCAAAAGGGGATAGTAATGAAATAACTTAATAAAAAAAGATGAGTCTAGAAGAGCTGGATATGACAGCAACAGAAGAATGATTGACAACTGCTGTCCAAAACTAATGAAAGAAGTGGTTACAATCTGAAATTTGTGAACTCCGTGTTGAGGCCAAAATATTGCATAGTGTCTAATTGAAAGCTGTGGTACTTTCAGCTTCATTAAAAACAAGTGCAGCAGAACAAATTTAACAGGGACTGAGATGGAGAAGTAAAATGGCATGAAATCTTATATTCTGGGTCATGCTTACACTGAACAGAGGTGTTCAGGAAAGCACCATTACAGTTATCAATTTAGTGGAAAAGACATTGATCGAGAGAGCCTGTGGGAATTGAAAAGAATATGCCATATATTCATTGAATCATGCAGTATGGAAAAAGACCTTCAGCCCATCGAGTCTACACTGACAAAAAGATACTCTAAATCTATACTAGTCCCACTTCTCAGCATGTAACTCATAACCTTCAATGTTCTGACATTTCAAAAGCTTATCTAAGTACCTTTTAAAGGATTTGAGGCTGCCTGCCTCAACTACCCTCCCACACAATGTAGTCCAGATTTCTATCACCCTCCAGATGAAAATTGTTTTCCTGAAATTCCCTCTAAACCTCCAGTCTTTCTCCTTAAAATTATGCCCACTGTTATTGAAACTTCACCTCAGGAAACAGTTGTTTTCTATCCAGTCTGCCCATGCCCCTCATAATCGTATACACCTCAGTCAGGTCCCTCTCAGCCTTCTCTGCTCCAAAGAAAACAACTCAAGCTTATCCAGAGATAACAAGGTGTAGAGCTGGATGAACACAGCAGGCTAAGCAGCATCAGAAGAGCAGGAAAGCATTTCTGAAGAAGGGTCTAGGCCCGAAACGTCAGCTTTCCTGCTCCTCTGATGCTGCTTGGCCTTCTGTGTTCATCCAGCTCTACACCTTGTTATCTCAGATTCTCCAGCATCTGCAGTTCCTACTATCTCTCAAGCTTATCCAGCCTCTCTTTGTCACAAAACTGCTCCATACTAGGCAACTTCCTGGTGACCAGAACTTCGTACAGTACTCCAGCTGTGGCCTAAACAAAATCCTGCACTGCATCAACATAATGTCCCTGCTCTTAATCTGTGCCAAAATTGATAAAGACATGTGTCTGTATGCCGCCTTAATTAATCCATTAACCTATCCTGTTCCCTTCTGGGATCTGTTGTCAAGCACTCCAAGATCCCTTTATTCCTCTGAGTTACCATATGTCTTGCCATTCATTGAGTACTCCCTCATCTTGTTACTTCTTCCAAAGTGCACCACCTCACATTTAACAGGGTAGAATTTTATCTGCCACTGATCTTCCTATGTGACTAATCCATCTATATCCTCCTGTAACCCCACAGCTTCTGCATTGTCAACCACCCTGACAATCTTTGCGTCATCCCCAATCTTACTTATTATCACCCTACATTTTCTTCTGTATCATTTATAAATATCATGAACAGTAAGGGACCCAGCACAGATTTTTGTGGCACACCACTGGACAACAGCCTCCAGTCCAAACAGCGTCCCACCACCACTCTCTGTCTCCTACCACTAAGCCAATTTTGGATCCAATTTGCCAATTTACCCTGGATCCCATATGCTTTTACCTTGTTTATCAATCCCCCACATGGTGCCTTGTCAATGGCTTTGCTGAATTCCATAAAAACTACATCAACTGCGCTACCACCATCTTCATAACTGATCACCTCCTTGAAAAATTCAATTAAATTTGTTAGGCATGATCTCCCTTTGACAAAGCCACGCTGACT